TCCCTTTCGTTCTTCGATAGCTGCATCTGTTTTAGCATCTGAGATCGCTGTTCCATCATAAGTGTCTTCTCATATGTGAACGCAGAAATATCATTTTCAAACTGCAAAAGAGATTGGCATTAGAAATGTCAGAAGAAACGTACTACTCAAAAGAACAATGTTTAGACAGTGTACCACAGTCATTCCTGCATTCATTCAGTCCTGGATGTATTTCTGGCATTAGAGTAATCCCAAGCATATAATTGATCAATCATTTCTGTCCTCATTCTTAAAACTTCATCTTCAAACAGCAATCTCGTACAATGGACTATCCTACTATACCAATGTGATTTTTATCTAAATTTGAGGTACTTGGGGCAGACTTCCCATTGCGCTGTTCCAACGAGGCTGCAGAAAAGAGAAAGGGCTGAAAGCGCTTATTTAAACTGGGTCTGCATTGCAGCCTCTGAGCACGTGTGCACACTTGTTTCCTTAAAAACTGTCTAGAGCCACAAAATAACACCTTGTCCTTTTACCAGTGAGAAATGTTACAAATAGAAGCATTTATGAAGAAACTCCAGCGTATATTCTCACATCAGCTCAAAGCTAAAATAGAATGTAAAAATCCATAGCAGTCATCTGTGTTGTCGCTGACTCGTAACGCGCGTCTCATCTTTTGCAAGAGTCTCGGGGTTAAATATGACCCACGTAAGAAAAACATAAATTGTGCTTCCTATACTATCTTCTGCTCAAAATCCAACCAACGCTGAGCCTTTTTTATGGCACACTGTCTTCTTTCACCTGCACATGCCACAGCATTTTAGTCTTTGACAAAACAAAACTAAAATAAATAAGCAAGCAATTAAAAGGATTTATTTTACTTCCTAGTTCAAAATACTAACCATATTTTTCATAAGTCATGTTTTTCATAAGTAATTTAAATGATTCTTAAAATTTGCTTTATGGCTGATCAGCATGATTAATCTTTTTGATACGTTTTGTTCATTCCAGGAACTGGTGGTGGTAGAAGTTTTGAACCAGTTGACCCATCTTCTTCATCCCACTTCAGAATGAGTTTAAAAGGGTTTTTGTTTTGTTTTGGTTTGTTTGTTTGGGTTTTTTTTTTGGTCTTACTTTGGACATTATGCTAGTCACCTTTCAGTGCTGGAAATGAAGTTTTTCCTTTAGTTGCCAAAAAAAGCAGGTCTAGACAGACTACTGCTTCAGTTCTTTCTCTTTGGCAGTTTATGACCAATATTTAAAAAGGGAAAAAAAAAATTACAAAGTTCATTTTGTCACTATTTGACTTGCGAATCTGTAGCTATACTGTCTTGCTGTTCAGTGCCAAAGAGGCCAGCAATGCCAAAAACCACTGACATACTCTCTTGGGGGCCTAGGGATTCCTTATTCCAGAGAGATATTCGTACAGCAGCTGGAGAGACAGACATGTTCATCCTCTCTCATGCTGGATGCCGTTGATTAAGCACATTCAGCCTTCCATTTCACTGCCTACTAAAAATTCAAGTTTTTTCCTTCCTGAATGAACTCTCTCTATGGACTAGTCCTCATAAATGAAGTAGGCACTAACACATCAAAATGGCTCAACTCTACTTGACAAAACCATTAAACTCACTACCACGTACACTAGCATTATGACATGGTAAGATAATGTTGCTTTAAAAAACTTCTTGTACTCGGTGGGACTGCAGTCTTTCCCTTTTTATAGTTGGGCTAACACCTTTTACTTTCAAAAATGCTAAATCCCTTTTCCCAAGTTTAGTCTCAATTGCACCTAAAAAAATATGCAGTAACATACCATTTCAACAACTTCCACTTCAGCATTCAGTCTAAGATGATATAAGAACATCTGAAGATCTTTTTTCATTTGAATGCTATTATCATCCATTTGAGCGACAGTGAAGATACGCATTTTACATTTTCTCCAAACCTGTCAAAATGATACATTATAACAATGCGGAACACAGCAATTGCTATCACCATGCATAATTCTACCAAGGTGAAAGAGTATTTCATTAGAAACCCTTGGAACTATTCATTGCTAGAAAATTAAATCCCAGCCATTTTCTGTTGTCCTTGCCTTGTGCTGTCGAAGGAGAAAAGGCAGTAACATCAGCATCCCACCATCATGAACAATCCACCACACATCTATGTTTCCTTCAGTAAAACGTTCTTGATTTGTTGGAAATAAGTCAATGTTTTTAGCCACCAATAGTGCTTGCTGAGCTGCTGTTGTTTCTCGTACAGTGTCTGCAAGGGAAAACAAGACATTTGATCAAGAACTTCTGGTATTCATTCACAGCTTTTGTTTTTGCTTTAAGTTAAAAAGCTTAAATCCTCCCAGATCCTGCTGAGGCAAGAGGAACATCCTGGGTTTAGTGACTAACCTGCTAAGGAGATTGTTGAAGCCATTGTTGAAGAGGCTGAGAAAACCCACTCCACATGAAATCACATGTGGGGAAATATTCAGTTGTCCACTGGATGTTCAGCATTGTATTTCCTCCACACAGCAAATATCTTAGTTACATAGTTGTAGTGCAAATGCATAGGAGAAAGTCAACAAACACATACCAACAAAATTTTTCCATGAGAAACGATTGTCTGTCTGCTTCCATGACTGTGGCCATGCCATCAGGACTGTGTTGTGCTTCATCCCTCCCAGACCAGCTGACTGAATCAAATAGGATATTCCATCTCTGAAATTAGGAGACACCACAATCTGGCAAAATCCTTTAGTCTTTTCTACTCCCATTAAGGCCTTAATGTTCTGCAAAAGGAAGATTACACATGAGGAAATACAGTCACCAACACTAGTAGTAAACACCATAAGGAGTAACAGCACTAAATAAGAGAGAAACATTAGCTACGACATACAACCAACATCAAGAAACCGCTAATTCCAAAAGAGTGAACGTGACTGACAACTACAACCCAAAACACCCACCTCCTCAAAAGACACCACACACAGGTGTGAATAATTTTAATTATTCAGCCTTTTATTTCCAAAGAAGAATGAACAAGATATGAGTAACACCACATTGACAAAGATAAATAAAATTGCACTGCTTCAGGTAAAGTCAAAACTGCTGACTGACAAAGCACTGAATGTTTAGAATGACAAGTCCTTTCTTTTGGAATTGGAAGAGTTTGGAAAAACGTGATGCCAAGGACTTTAAGGAGCTTTGGCAGCCTTTTCTTCTAAACAACTTTAAGAGGCTGATTCTTTATTTATCAGCTCCCAACATGAAAAAATAGATGTGTAGGAGACAATTGGAATCGCTGGCTGAATAATGACAAGATAAACTGACTAGATTAAATCTCCCACACCCCTTTAATTTAAACATGCCTCCCCTTCATTTAAACACTGACAAACATACACACACTTAACCAAGTAATTTAAAAGTAGCATTCAAAACGGTACCAAGGTTGACTAGGGAACATCAGCTTTGGCATTTACTGTGTTTTGATGGCACCACTTCAAAAACCCCATCATTATCAATGACTTGTGTGGGAGATCAGCACAGTTTCAGAAGGAAAAACCAGCACATCAAAACTATCAAAAACCATCAGGAACAGCTTCGATCACAGAATGCCTGGCACTGGCTCAGTGTGGCTTCAACATCAGAAATTCTGTTTAGTAGAGAAAAAGGGTCTTCAGAGAATTTGGTAGCAAAGCTAACAAGTCTGTCTGTGCAAACAGTATCTGCGAGGGCCTATCAGTTTAAATAGATGCTTTTTTATTTCAAAGAGACAGACAGAAGAAATCTTGATTTCCCACAAATTTGCTAGTTGAAATTTTCCAAAAACCAATGAGGCCTCCAGATGCTCAAACTTTTACAAGTCATCTTCACTTCCATTTTAAAAGCAGTATTTTCCTCGATCTTAACACCAGGTCTGACTTTCTACAGAACCCAGGGATTAGGTCTCCCTTAAATTCATTCCTATTCCATCTCTCAAAAATGTAGCTGACTTCAAGTTAAGCCAACTGTAGGTAACATTTCAAATCCTTATGGGTAAACAGTTTATGTTTAAAGGTTTTCTTTGTTTTATTTCAGAGGCCCGATTGTATTCTTTGTCTTGTTTTTTGATTATTTGTATTCTAGTCTTGTTTTCTACTCACAGCTGTTGATCATAACAGTGTAATAACAATTGCTTTCCCAACAGATCGTTGCTAGACTTTTTCCACTACGTTTTCAAGCTAAGTAGCCTTTTCATGTGATATCAGCTAGGCCATCTGGCTTCGTACTTTGTTATTTTAAAAACCACTAGGGACAAGTCTGAATACCAAGACGGAGAAAAAAAAGCTGGGAGAAAAAGGGCAGTTGGCTTTGTTAAGTCCATTTCAACATCTCAAATGCTCTTCTACTTTAGAGATACCAGGTCTGAATAAATCATAGGTGTTTTTACACAGCTTTGAAGATGACTTGGATCAAAATAGTAGACATTTCAACTCATACTTGTTTCAACAACACTGAAGATATTAACCGTTTTTGGAAGACACAATGGCAATCAAAGCCTAATTTTGGAGTAGACTTTATAGGAGTTTTCTAAAGGAAACAGATTTTTCAATAGTATTCAATAAAATGTGTGAAACATGGTATTTTCTAAACGTGTTTCCCCACTCTATAGAGTCAGGATTAGGAGAGTTTGTGTAAGTAAGCAAATATAATTATCTATACCGAGTTACCCCAATACTGGATTAAACAAAGAAATACACAAGTTGTTTAAGACTGAACAAAAAGGGAAGCTTGCTTTGCATCGAAAGTCCAAGCTGTATGAACAATGGAACTTCAGATCTTCAGGTCTATTAACTTCCCTTTTTCCTTCAGGAGACAATTAAAATTAAGTTCAGGTATTTTCATGAGCTTCCCACACAAACATCTATGTATTTCCAATCGGGTAGCACAGTCAAATATCAACAAGTTGTCAGGGGGGGGGAAAAAAAAAAAAAGAGAAAAATTCAAATTAAATTCACTTGTGTTTGTAAGCAAAGTTAGATGTCATCTTAAATTACATGACAGCTTACTATTTTTTTTCTACCTCATCCTACCTTCTCTGCAGATATGGGGTAAATAGGGAAGAAAAAAAGAGAAAGAAAGTAAAGGATCTCAAGAAGGATGCTGTTTACGGTTAAGCTAGAGTAGGATTCCGGCAAAGACTGCTCCTAATCCTAGCTCTGCTATATATTTCTAGGACAACATAGAAAATAGTATCATGTGTACATCCAGAGGATGAAATTATGCCGAGCACAACTGCATTTGTTAGATAAATGTTAATTTTTTTTGTTAAATAAATCTGTTTTCTTTATAAGGTAATTTGTTAAAAACCTATCACTTGGCTTTTTCAGGAATGTAATTTGATTGTGAGCCCAGGGCTCTCAATATTAAAGAGAATAAAAATCTAAGAAATATCAGCATCGGGAAATTTTATAAAACATTTTGCTATACACACCAACCTATTCTTTATATGTAATCATTGATTGTGCTGATAGTAAAAATTTATGTTTTATTCAATACTTTACAACAGTCTGTTCTAATTCAAGCTATGAGTTATCCAGATGCAACATTTAAATACTAATGGAAGTTACAAGTGTGTGTAAGCTGTCCTTTACGTACCTCTTCAGCTTTCTGAGTTTCTGTACATTTATCCAAGTAGATTCCCTGAAGCACAGAGCCCACAATAGTCAGTCCTTTACCAGCCTTCAACTGAGAGGTGAAAGAAAGCAATCTAGGATGTTTCACCAACTGCTCACAATCCAAGTTTAATAAGACCAAAAGTTGAGGTCTGCCCCCCCCAAAAAAAAAAAAAAGTTACACATACACATATACATATAGAAAAGCAAGAAAGAATTGGAGAATTAAAATTAACAATTAATAAAATGCAGATTAAGTGCTTGATTCAATGGAAAACATTCAACTATCAAGCAAGGAAGTCATAATTTGCAACAGCAACAACATTTCAGGTACAGAATACCTACATGACCACCATACCATCATTCTGAAAAGCTACCTTAAGGAATAGTTTTACCAAGAAAATTACTGAATCAAAGTTATCACCCTTACAAGGTCATCACCTGTTGCTTGAAGCAGTTAAACATTGAATGCACACCAGATTGTTCAGAGCTCCATCCTGTTGGATTTTGAAAACCTCCAGAGACAGAGATATTATCACCTCTAGGTAACCTCTTCAGTGCTTAATTTTAGTCATCTCAAATTTTATTTTTTTCTTTGTCCACTTTATCATGTTCTCTCATTCTCCTACCATATACTGGAGTCAGACTCCATCTTCTCAGTAACCTTCTTTCAGGTGTTGGATGTTTACTAGTTAGTTATATCAGCTTTTAGGCTCCCCTTAAGCCTCCTCCAAGCTGAATAAGCATAGCTCCCTCAGCCTCTCCCCCAGCAGATATGCTCCTGTACCCCAATCATCATCTCACTGGTCCTCTGCTGAACTCGCTCCAGTTTACGGATGTCTTTCCTATATCAGGGTGCCTAAAACTGGATGAAATATTCTAGATGTATTCTAATGAGTGCTGAGCGAAGAGCAATATTATTTCCCAGTATATTTTCTTCTCAATATACTAGCTATGCTCCTGTTGAAGCAGTCCAGCATGTCACTGCGAAGGCACACTGCTGGCTTACTATCTACTGGGAATCACAGGTCCTTTTCACCAGAGCAGGTTCCCAGCCTTGTACCATCACACTGGACAAGCCTGTCCCAGACTTCGCACTTGTCCTTCTGGATTTTCATGATGTTGTTGTTGTTCCTCTACCTGCATAGGGCCTTCCAAAAGGACAGTCATACCCTTAGAAGTACTGATAAGCACCCCTAGTTCAGTTTCAACTGCATACTTGATGAGGATGCATTCTGTTTCCTTTAATCAAGATCCAGTCTGCTTACTCTTCCCAAACCAACATTTTGTAATTTTCCTGTCATTACTACAAATTCAAAAGCACGACTAAGAGTTGGAGCGTACTTCCCACCTCAAAACCAGTCCACTTTAAGATGTAACAAAAAGGTTCTAGCAATTACATTGACACAACAGGAGGATAACTCACCTGGAACTAACATGATGTCAGACATTTAACAGGAATGCTCTTAGTCAACACTACATCTGAGATGCCAAGTTCAGACACAGAAAAGACAAGAGTATTCCACAGTAACTGCTTATGTGCATCAGTCCCATAACAAATGGTAAACTAATGCCACTACACTGAAGGGCAACAGAACATGGCACGTGCATGCACCCAGGGATACTTTAACTACAGTCACTGCTCTGTGACAGTAACACATTTAATGACAATTTCTTTTCTGTGTGTTCCACTGATCAGAGCTCTTCTGATCTGCATTACATTCATCAGAAGTGTGCCAATGTCCTTTTGTTTTTAAATGCTAAGTAACTTTTTGTGTTGGCTTTGAGAAAAATCAGTAGTTTAACAAGTAAAAAGAATATATTGCAAAAATAGTAGCAGACCTCTAACCCCTTACACACAAATGGGCAGCAAAGGTTTGATTTTGTGTCAACGATATCTCAGCAATTTAGAAAGCATTACTATCAAATGAAGTTAGATAAATTTTTGTGGCAATGTTTAATTTAAACAAATAATGGATCCTCTGTATATTTATACAATGTATTTCAGAGGGAATATATATAGAAGCAAAAAAACCCAAACTTATGGAATTGAAGCGTTTCTTCTATAGAGACAGTGGGACTCAATAATAACTGTTCTTTTGAATCTGAAAAATCTATAAATAATCAAACGTTAAAATTCTTCTGCACTTTGGAAAACTACGTCAACAGCACAGGGATTTAAGTTTGAGTTGCCCATATTCCCAGTAAAGCTGATTACGTGCTTACCATAAGTCGCATTCTATTGTGGTAAAATAATACTACTGCAGTGACATCAGTGCCATGTCCAAGTTAAAACATTATTTTAATGGTGAATTTCACTTTGGCCATTAGCTTTACCAGCAGTATTCCCAATAGGTTTACATATTTCAAGAACTATGTGACCTTGGAAGGTGTGGGACTTGCCTCCAGTTCTTGGTGTGAGGAGGACCGTCTTCGACACGAAGCAAAGCATAGCGAGCTGCATTCAGAGACAGTCCTCTGATTCCATCACCCCATTCTTTTTCCGCTCTTCAGGGTGCAGAAGAGATTCAATTAACAGGGTCCCGTTTATTTTTACAAATTAAGTGCATTTTCTCACATGAGGGATAATGGGCATAAAAAAAAAGACACTTTTTTTCATGAATGCATAAAAAACCTCATAGATTTAAATCAAGAATTAAGGCTAACCAAGATGAAGCAGTCTCAGGTCCCTTCAAAAGAACTATTTATTAAGTATTTATTAATATTTATTTATTATGAGTTAATTTATTCATACTTCAAAAGCTTTTTTGTAATCATGAGAGCTACTTAAGTTGCTTTTAAGCACTAGAATGAATAAGTGAGGGCTACTTAAAAGGAATTGTTTTAAAGCAGCAGAATGAGTAAGTGAAACTTGACTTTGTATGGATTAGCATGTCATGCCTTCCCCCCCACCACCACCACCACAGCTTTCTCAACTTCCTTTCCCTCCCAGCTTCTCTTGCAGTTGAGCCTAAAGCTTTATCTGCCCTCCTGACCACTTTCAATCTCTCTACGTTTTCCACTCCTTTCTCCCAATACAAAGCTATGCTATATGCCAGGTGGCCAACCAAATCAGAAAGAACTGTTAGGCCAACACATTATTTTCCTCTGTGGGGATTCTACTACGGCAAGGCCGTCTCCCTTGCCCTCCCTCCCTCTTATTTCCATTCATGAATTCTCACTGAACTTTGTTACCTCTAGCTTTCTTTCGAAATTTTAATGAAATAAGCCAAACTGAATTCAAAAGCTATTAAAGAACAATGTGGCAATTAAAATCTACCCTGACAGGCAGCACAGTCATGTAAGTTTCTTTTACTTAGTTATCCAAAAATTAAAATAAAACTGAGGTTTTCTCCAGACAACAGTTTTTAGAATATTTCAGGGTGAGTTTCTCCCCACTGCCCAATCAGCCCCTGCATTTGTAAAGGCAGGGAGAAAAGAAGTTAAGCTTCTGCAAAAAAGAGAATCTCTTTCTACAGGGTAAATGTGCTGGCTATGTGCCAACAGTTGTACAGTCTGTATACGAATTTGGACATACATATAATTTTATGTATGTGCAGGCCTATATGCACACACACAAGCAGAACTGTTATCATCCGATCTGACTTCCTAGCTAAAATAGGCAAATTAATTTCCTTATAATTAACCCAGTAAATGAAGCTGTTACAATCCAGGAAAGCATCTAATCTGGAAAGGGCGATATTAAAAGATTGAGAACCCACAAGGTGGAGCAGTTTATACCAGCTGATCCACTGAAGACCTGTGTTTAGTCACTCATCAAAACAACTGGTCTCGCTTTAATTTCCTGCTACAAGACCTTACTAAAAATAGTATTCTAAGATCTATTCTTGACTAGAATCTTTCAGCATTGGGTATCTCTCCTTAGAAAGACAAAGCACACACATTACTGATCATAAATCACCTCTTGTGTTTGGATATGTTGTTTAGTTGGGGGTTTTTTGGTTGGGTCTTCTGGGGGTTTTTTGTTGGTTTGGTTGTTTGAGGTTTTTTTGGTTTTGTGTTTTTTGGTTTTGTGGGGGTTTTTGTTGTTGTTTTTTTTGTTTTTTGGGTTTTTTTTGTTTTTTGGTTTTTTTTTTTTTTATGAACTCAGCATGCTCTTTTAGTCTCCTACTTGCACCGCATTTCTTACAGGTGTTGCTCTGTATGCGTCCCTTGTCAAATGCATACAATGCAAAGTATGTTGCAATTTAAAGATTACCTAGGCCTTCAGAAAACAGATAATTTTCAGTAGGTGCTCTGGATTATTCAGTATGATTCACTCTAAAAAGTACTGAAGTCCACACAAAAGAGTAGAGTTTTGGGGCTTTAGCACAAGTTAATAGTAAGGTATCAGTTTTGTAACAGTTGCTGCTTGATATTAAAAGGTGATGTTCCTGAAGCACCAAACCTTTACACCATAATCACTGCTCAAATGAAAGTTTCCCAGCCTTATTGGCTCCTATTTTGGTTAGTTCTGGCTGTCAAGAAATTTGGAACAGAATTTCCAGAGAAATTAGAACCTGAAAACTTAGAACCCTTAGCAGAGACAGGATCTTACCTTGTTTCAAGGAATACTCTTAATTCTATTACTCCAGTTGTATCTGTTTTATACAAAAGTGCTTTTTGCTGAATGTTAAAGATATTAAATATAGAATAAATAAGATATATGGTCTTACCCTCTATATTCTATGTATTTGTATATACATCCTGCGATTAGCATGGCAATCAAAGCATAGTACCAAGAGCAAATGAACATCAAGGCAAGACATAAACTCATCCCCAGGAATGAGAGAGTCCTAAAAGAAACCATTTTTTTCCATTTTTTTAAATAGGCATGCAAATGTTCTACAAAGTCAATTTCTTATTTAAGTTAACTTCCAGAAAGGCCTTTCTTTCAAAGACAAGGGCCATTTCATAGCTACTGCACAAATGAAAATACATTGTCCCAATTTTAGTTTATAAAAAAAAAAAATTACATTCTGAACTTGTGTGTGACATAAATAATACAATTGAATAGATATAACAATAGATTTACTACATTTGTCAGTTCTGAAACTCTGTCAGCACCTCCAAGTAAGGGCAGTTTCAAAACACATTGCTAGCACTTACTTACTGTTGATTTGAACTTAAGCTAAAAAACAAAACAAAAAACCATATTCTCAAACAACAGTAAGCAACGTTATGTTACTTCCAGCAAAAATAGTTGATTAGTTTAAATTAAGTTTGACTCATCAATTATATTCTCCACCTCTGTTGTGGCCTGTCTCTTCGGCAAGAACACAGGAGAGTAGAAGAGAATATAGAAAAGGATCTTTCAAAGGCTATGAAGAAGGAATGACTGTGAGCTGAAAAAGTTACAGAAGCATTTCCAGATTAAAATTTATATGCCTGCTTTGCCCACACTATTATTCAAGATAGATACAAGCCAGCTCAGTACTACGCAGTTTTGTGAATACTTTTAGTCATATACGACACTCCAGATTTCTTTTCATCCAATTTCCGAATTAGAGCTAGCTTTCACTATATTGACAAAGAGTGTCAGCAGACCCAACTGTTGTGTGGTACCTGTAGTTTGCTTCTTTTAGTACCATACGAGTATTGAGTCCAAATGCATCCAGTTTTAAACCAAAGAAATGCTTTCTACCTGTTCTGAGGACATCAATCTAAATGTAGTTTGTCCAAAAGAACAACAGCTGCTCTTTCATGCTTGACTTGGTCAACCTAAGACTCTACTTTCACTCAAAAAAATAAAGTCCCATCCCAATTCTGGTCAAGCATTCTGACACCTGCTTTGGTTAGAAGTGATTATGTAGCCACACAGTGAGTCAGTTGGCCCACTGATCTCTCTGGGAAAAATATAGAAAGGAATTGTTGCCAAACGGTTACAAACTCTGCTGCTGCTACCCTCCATCTTATCCACCTGCCTTCGCTTTTAAGCTGCTTTGTACCTCCTACTATACTTCTTCCACAATCAGATTATTCAGAGGAGGTAGAACAAAAACAAAACAAAAACACAAAAATGAACAAACAAACAAACAAAACCAAAAAACAAACCAAGAGACAGCAATCCCCCATTTTCGTTCTTGATGCTGCAAATACTACTAGGTGTTTACAGTGATAGTCTGGGAGATGGGCACTAATGTATTTGGAGGTTTAGGTGCTAAACTAGTAAGTGCCTACCGAGCACATTCAAAAAGATTTTTCAGGGCTAAAACCGTGATGTTTAATTTTCACTCAATTCTTTAAAAGGAAAAATAATAAGGGACTCTTACATCCTAGAATCAGGCCAGCTTATCTCCTAAAGGCTCTAGTCTTCAAGGTGTTTCAGCACTAAAATCTCTCAATAGAATTACTGTTAATTAATTCAATATATGTATTTTTAACAGTCAGTTGAAAAAAATCAAAAAGTTTCCCCATCTTAGTTTGAAGTGTTTGAACTCTTAAGCCATTTAAAAACAAACTTAACAAAAAGCACACCCACACTTTTTGTATAATTGACCTTCACTGACTTTGTCAAGTATCCACTTGTCTACTTCAGTTATCAAACGCAACGTCTGAAGCATGACATATTTTAAAAACAGTGATCATACCGTTAAAGAGCCAACTGATGTATATTAAATGAGATTTTTTTTTTCCGTACAAGTTTTGGTTTTGTATATTGGTTTTCAAATAACTAAAATGAAAATCGTAGCAACTTTCCCGAACATTTTTACCAGTTCTCCTTATCCATATATAAAGGACAGATAATATTTTTTTTCCCATCTTCATTCTCGCATATTCAGAAGATCTCTTGGCTTATAAGCAACATTAAATGTCATCCTGTAGCCCCTTCCCAAACCCTCTGCATTAGCCACATGTTTTCATGATCACAGCTATTACTAGCCCTATTCCAAACATATGAAAACAAATGTTGCTGTTAGAGTATTCAGTGCATGAATCATAACTCATTTAAGTCAGAAAGGAGATTTTATACTATCATTGCAAGAAAATCAACAATTTAGGGCTGCATAATTAGATTTAACTCTTTGGAATGAAGGAATATTCCTTACCAATGGTAATACTTGAAACGAGGTCTCCAGTTGGGAGTCCGTAAAAGCGTCTGAACTGCACAAGCCAGATTAACAAACATATAGCACATAAGAAAAAACCTGTTAAGAAAAAAAAAAAAAAGAGCATTTTCCAGTAGGAAATTAACTAGACAGACTTGCATTAAAAGGCTGAACACAATCCAAAAAAGGGTAGGAACTTGTACACTGATCACAGCGGCCAATAGAACACAAGACATTGATTAAATTAATACTTGTTGAATATTAGGCCTCAAAAATGGTATTAGCATCATATAGATCCTCAAGCAAAGATTTCAGAGAAAACATAGCAAACAACTGACAATCATGGTGCACTGGTTTTGGCTGGGATAGATTTAATTTCCTTTGTAGTAGCTCATATAGTGCTATGTTCTGGATTTGCAACCAAAACAGTGTTGATAACACAGGGATTTTTCAGCCGTTGCTGACCAGTGCTTACAAAGCATCAAGGATTTTGTTTTTCTTGCTGCCCCACCAGCAAATAGTCTTGGGGAGGGGACACAGCTGACCACAACTGATGAAAAGGATATTCAATACTGTCTGATATTATGCTCAGCAGTAAGAGCTCCAGGAAAAAAAAAGGGAGGGACATTTGGACTTAATGGTATTTGTTTTCCCAAGTAACACATAATGAAGCCCCGCTTTCCTGGAAATGGCTAAACATCTGCCTATCGATAGTGAATTAATTCCTTATTTTGCTTTGCTTGTGCACAGAGCTTCTGCCTTACCTATTAAACTGTCTTTATCTCAGCCCATGAGTTCTCACTTCTACCCTTCTGATTCTCTCCCCCACCACGCTGGAGGGGGGGCGGGGGAGTGAGTGAGGAGATGTGTGGGGCTGAGCTGCCTACCGGGGTCAACCCATACGCATGGCCTAAACTTTTTTTTTTTTTTAAATCCAAGTTTTTAAAAGTTTAACATATTTTTACTAGCATTCAAGAACTCTGTCATGGAAAAAGTTTTTTGTGCCTAGAAATTGGTTCCAGCCAAAACATATTTTTGCTTCTGTCCTGGTTTCAGCTGGGATAGAGTTAACTTTCTTCTTAGTAGCTGGTAGAGTGCTGCGTTTTGGATTTAGGATGAGAATAATGTTGATAACACACTGATGTTTTGGTTCTTGCTGAGTAGAGTTTACACTCGCCAAGGACTTTTCAGCTTCTCGTGCTCTGCCAGGTGCACAACAAGCTGGGAGGAAGCATAGCCAGGACAGCTGACCCAGACTGGCCAAAGGGCTATTCCATACCATATGACATCATGCTCAGCACATAAAGCAGGGGGAAGAAGAAGGAAGGGGGGGGACGTTTGGAGCAATGGCGTTTGTCTTCCCAAGTAACCATTATGCGCGACGGAGCCATGCTTTCCTTCCCTCCAGTGGGATGGGGGAGGAGTGAGCGAGCGGCTGTGTAGTGCTTAGTTGCCGGCTGGGGTTAAACCACGACAGCTTCATATTATCTCCAGGATCAAATAGGAATACAACTTGTTAGAAGACAAAGTCTAGCACGTATTATTTCAAAAAGAAAAACATTACCGACTTAATTTAAAAATAAAATACTATTTAATTTAAGAACACAAACCACCACATTCATACTTACATGGAAAGAATTGGTGCTACACTATCCAATGAGGCTATCAAAATTCCTATTTCACAAATACCAGCAGTGAGGAGCAGAGCCCAAGTTGGTTCTCCATTTGCTTTTCCATGACCAAATACCTAGTTCAATTCAGTAAACAGTAAGATTAGGGAAAGCTGTTCGTTATACGGTTATGAAATATGGTGCAGATCACTAACCAACCCTAACTGGAACCAAAAACAGTCATTAGTTATAAAGGAAAATGAAGCAATCCATACTACAAAAAGCCACAAACAAAAGTGCAAAAACACACATTTCCACTATTAAAAATGTTTACTAAAATAAGCAATGACCACATAACATTACAGTACTGTTGCAGTTGATGTTGAAATAATCTTAAGTAACTTAAAGTCCACGTGCAGATATTTATGCTTAGTCTATAAAAAGCTAATATAGTTGAGAGCAGTATTTTTTTGTAACATACAAAACAGGCATCACCTCAGTACTTATGAGCATAAATATTGACCTTTAAAGAGGACCTAAGCAAGCCTACAATGCTGCACAGAGCCCTACCAAAAATAATTTTGCATGTGGTAATTTCCTTTGAGGAGAAGCTACACTGGTGACGGGTGGCAAAATTCCTCACCTGAAGTTCCAGCCGTATTTATTCTCCTCCATATTCCTCCATACAATTACAAAGACTAAACCCTCACTCCCATTTTCCATAATGGCTTCCTTTCCAAGTGTCTAGGTTCTTCACGTCACTCGTTCTCCATACCGTTTTCTTCCCTTAGCTTCCTGTCATCCATCAATCTTCCTTCCCTTATATTAAAAGGGCATCTTTTCTGCTCATGTTTCAAGTCTTTTGATTTTTTTCTTAAATACGTCATACTCTTGCCCCTATATTAATCTCCTTGGATTGTCTTTTTTTTTTTTTCTTAGTTTCCTTAACTGTCCATGCAGCAGCTATATCACTCCAAAACTGCAAGCGCTTTTCAAGTCTCAAATCCCTCTTCAAACATCCTGCTTCTCCTGGATTCCCTTTCCCTCACTTCCCAAATCACCTAAATTTTTTCCTTCCGATTCTTCACTCCTTTCAAATCTAACCCTGAAAAGATAGAATCATTCTATCACCCTCTCACCAAGTACCGAATTTTTAATTCGAACAAAAGTGAAATTTTTCATTTGTCTCTCTCAATAAAATCAATTAACAGTTTATTGCATTATAATCCCTTCCCACTCACAAGTCAAACACCATCATGACTCTGTACCCCCACCCCAGCATAGTTAGTGTATTTACTTCCAGTTAGATATAGGTCTTGCAAGTCAGGGAACATGCCACTGCTCTCAAATGTGAAACAAAGGAGCAGCATGTTTGATATTCCGCTTTTCAAGTCTCAAATCCCTCTTCAAACATCCTGCTTCTCCTGGATTCCCTTTCCCTCACTTCCCAAATCACATCAATTTTTTCCTTCCGATTCTTCACTCCTTTCAAATCTAACCCTGAAAAGATAGAATCATTCTATCACCCTCTCACCAAGTACCGAATTTTTAATTCGAACAAAAGTGAAATTTTTCATTTGTCTCTCTCAATAAAATCAAGCATTTACAGTTTATTGCATTATAATCCCTTCCCACTCACAAGTCAAACACCATCATGACTCTGTACCCCCACCCCAGCATAGTTAGTGTATTTACTTCCAGTTAGATATAGGTCTTGCAAGTCAGGGAACATGCCACTGCTCTCAAATGTGAAACAAAGGAGCAGCATGTTTGATATTCTTACACATCCTCACCATCTTTCTCCACCCCTAGTAGAAAAGATGCTCCTAGACCAAGGGAATGGTGATGTAACTTTCTCAATGAACAGGTTGCAAATACTGTAGGTGCAGATCACCTCAAGCCAGTAGAATCAGAGATACAGCAGTTGCATTTCCTGCTAGCAGTAGCACTGCTGCAAGTGCTGCTGGCAGAGCATTCATGCAGCAGAGGGGCTGTCTTTTTGACTTGTTTACTCCTTGATTGATTAACTCTTCTGGCTCCTGCTCCCAGCAGCAATACTAATGTACATTTCCAGTGACCATTCTCCCCTCCAGCCCAAGAGAAAATGACCTAAGAGCAAATATCAAGCATACAGCCCTACCGAGACTAGGCACTAGCAGACAGACCAGGGAAGCAGCAGCAATGGAATGGAACCAAGTGATTAAAGACTCAGAAAAAAGTTCCCAACAGCTGTATGATCTGCCTTTAAAACAAAAAAACCCACACAACAAAAAACCTCTACAACACACAAAAGACAACCCCCCCTCCCAAAGCCACTAGCATTACCCCTTCCATTTTGCTTTTCTCAGCTTTTCCAACCATCTCCTCTAACCCACTGCCTGTGCACTCCTTCTCCGTCTTCACACAAGTCCTTTCCTCTCTTATTTTCCCATTCCCACACATCTGCATGTCTCCCTCCTCCTAAGATGCTTCCCCCCCAACCCCACTCAAATTCTCCAGCTAACCCGTCATAATAGTCCTAGGCACATCCTTTCTGAAGTCACACATCAATTTGTTGACTCATTATAGGCTTTCCCTAAACTCAGGAACCAAACCCAACTGCTGCTATTGTATACCTAGCCCTCACTGAAGACAGATTATAAATATCTCTGTGTAGAGTCTTAAGTTATTCACCAAGAGTAATAGCGCGTTTTTAACATAACATACTACCAACCTCAGATGTGAGACAGTGACCTACAACACACATCTGATCAAGAATATTTGGCAACTGTCTCCTAACTCTGTTCCCAAAATATTTATGGTTACTTAGACATAATCCTGTTTTTTATACTTGAACCTGTTTTTGATAGGTTATCATTGTGCTGTACAACTGTTGATTATCTTGGCAATTTGAGGTTGGCTTTCAAACTTCACGACAGAAATCACAGCTTTGCTCTCTAGATATTATCATCCTTTGGAACTTTATTTGTTGTCTAGTTTTTGCAGATGCAGCCCACCAATTCTATTAAGTATCTTCCAGCAAGAGTTCTCTTTTCTTCTGTTTGCCAGCACCCTTACTCACTTCCTTTGAGAAAAATCCGATTTATTTATTTTTAAAACATGCATAGGGGTGTCAGAACAATCTTAATGTTTGGAGTCATGGGATAGAATTCTATTGTTACATCTTTGTTGACTTCATTTAGTTTACAAAAATGAACAAAAAGTAAAATTGTAGCTCTACAATACGAGAAGTATCATGCAGTTTCATAGTGAGATTAGATCAACTCTGTTCACAAACACAAGTTGTAAACACAGCCTGGAATCAAGAAATTCAGTTGTTAGGTGCATCTTAGTTCATTTATTTCCATTTCTAGAAGACTTATATTCTCAGTTTTGAACCACTAACTTTTGTGTGTAAGAAGAAAAATAATTAAATTGCATTGCACAGAAATATCCAATTTCAAACTTTGTCCTACAATAGCTTGATCTATTGTTGTACACAATTAGAACAGAGCTCCAAATCTTTTCCTTACAGTTCTATAAGAATAGCAGAAATAATACCTCATTTTTTTTGTCAAAAATATAAGCCATATTTGAAGTACTGTAAAGAAAAAAAAAGTCTCACTTGAATAAACGGTACAATGCCATCTCTTGCAATGGCCTGCAACAGACGGGGTGCACCAGTGAGACTCTGGAGACCAGCACCACACGTTGAAAAGAATGAACCAATCACAATAACCCATGGAGAAGGCCACGCCAGTGTACCAACCACTAGATTTCCATTAACTGCTTCTCCAAACCTTAGGGAAGGGGAAAAAACAAAAGAAAAAAAAAATCAGCTAGCATTAAAATAACTTTTACTATAGCTTCAACACCCACATTTCAATTTTTTTGAACAACAGTACTTTTCAACAATAAACACCATGTCACAGTATGTGCTACAGGATTACCCAACCAACCAATTTCTCTTTATTCTGCTGTTTTAAAGAAAACATATTATAATTGATTCATTATAAGTGCTGCCTCTAAACAAACATGCAGCAATTATCAGGTATCTTGGCAAACTTTACAGAATTAACAGCAACAGCAGAAGTATTTACACATGCATCCTTTCGATCCTTGTGACTGCTAAGAACTAGATTGCCAAAGTCTGTTCTACAAGTAATACAGGTATACCCTGGGGCATAAGTAGGAGATTTGCTAAACAAAGTATTAGCCTTTCCTTTTAATAGTGTGACACTGACATATGGAGAAGTAAACACAGAAACTACTAGACGCAGCCTTCTGAAGTTATCCACACACCTTCTGACTGTCATGCTACCTGATGCAATTTTTAAATGACTGTGGCAAATAAGTGGGTAGAAGTCAGGAAGAGGTGCTTTCATTACAATCTTGAGTGTCCCAACCAATGCCACTGCTGCTTTTTTTTCCCTAGATAATTAACTTTATGTTCATGTATGGACATCTTGGGTAAACTACAAAAAGATACTTTCTTCCACTCTGCCTCCTCCAAACTGATGTTTTTGTATTAAAAGTAAGTAAACTTGTAGTTCATCTTAGTTTTGTTAGTAAGCAGCCAAAATCGATTTTAAGACTATCTACACTATGATAGCATGATTTTATTTTGTTTTCATGTTTTTCAAAATAAACACCAAAGAAAAGAAGAGGCTACAAACTAAGAAAAATTAAATGCTTTATCTCTTTTCAGACTTGCTCTTAAACAGGGTCAAGAAACATAGTAATCAGGTTAATATAATAAGCCAATGTTCAAATTCTTGCATATGCCCAAGCTTGGAATGCATGGCTACATACTATTTTCAGCAGATGGAAAAAGGGAAAACCATGCCCTTTAAAAATATAGGAGAAAAAAAAGGTATTATGCTTCTACAACTGCATTTATACAGCTGCACATTCATTCTTGATGTAAATTCTAATGCCTGTGTTTTATTTAAACATGGAGTAGGAACAACTTGAAAAGATCAAAGACTGAAAGATATAGAACCTACTTTTTCCCCATGGCAGATATGGCAATCCATAATGAAAAAAAAAAAAAAAACCCAACCAAAAAAACAACAAATCCCCCCCCAAAAAAAGAGTCTTCAAACCAGACCAAAATCCATATATTTTACTGTTATTCTGGATTTCAGCCAAACCATAACTGGCAGCAGCATAAATGAAAGAACATTAATTCAATGCTCTTGCTACAATGCATCCTGCTCTAGTGACAGATAACCTGCACTCACACCTTGCAAAATTCCCCCCACCCAGTAAATTTCAAATATGTCACTTTCAAAAATGTGAGTTTATAGATATTGGCTCTGCATTAATTTATAATTCAGAATCAATTTACTATTTCTTAAGCATCAGCTTGATTTGGTTTGTATGTTTACTTTGAAGAAAATGAAATCAGAGATTTTCACTAATGCAGCAATACCATTTTAAAGTAAAAATGATCCTCTGCTGCTTCTTGCTGTGATTAGAATCCAGCTTTTAACTTATGGTTTTCCTTCCAGGCTAAAAGATTGTGTTTTGAAATAAGATGTTAGAAAGGTGATGGAGATGATGCTGAGACAATACCCCAATGCCACTGCTTCATCACCAAAAGTATACTTGGGCCTTAGTAGAAAGAGAAACGGACACCAGCAAGGAAACAAAAATGTGAAACCTGCCAACAGATTCATCTTAGTTAACTTCTCCTAAGAATGAAATTTATCAAAATCTGGAGATTCTGTTCATGCTTAACTCCATTACATTTATTCCCTTCCTGCTAAATATTGTGCCTCAAATATCAGGCAATTACATGGGTGAAAACTGACACGACTCCTGATCTACAATTGATATTTTAAAACAAAAACACAGTCATACAATCCAGTGGAAATTGTAAGCCTGACAGTGCATTGCAGTCTCTCTCATGAATTCTCCTTGTCATATAAATGTTAAGAAGTGTTTTTCTGTCTTTGTTCCTCAGGAGCATATTACTTCTCCCAAAGTAGTACCACTCCCCTTACCCGCACCTATCAGCTCCATAAATAGTAACTATGATTTTCTTTCTCAAGAACATTTTATTAGGGACAGTTCCACTTCAAACATAAATGTTAGATTCTGCTTCTGCTTCTTGAAGAGATACAGCCTGACAACCTGACCAGTTTTTGCAGCCATCTCAGTTTAACAGATACACTTTCCCTCCAGTTTTAACCTAAGCGAAAGAAAAAATATATCACACAGATATTTCCCAGAAGAGCCATTAATAAGTCCCATTAACATAACCCATGATCATACATACTCCCTATAAAATTAGAAGCTGAATACGACTTACTTATCTCTTAATATCACACCTTCTATACAGGCACCAAACAACACTATACAGGAGAGATCTATTACTGAGACTGAAGGAAGATTACACTAATAGTAATCATATACATAAAGAGAGAAAAGCCACCATTTTTCACCTAGGGATGAAATGAAAGTGTCCATGATAATGAAGTGGTGGGTTGTTTTGTTTTGTTTGTTTTTTTGTTTGTTTTTGTTCTTTTTGGTTTTGTTTTCTTTTGTTCTGGTTGGTTCGTGGCTGTTTTTTTAATTCTTCCCTGCTAAAACTTTTTAATTTATGTTCTTTACAACTGCATTTGATGCATAGTTGATTTGTGAAGTATTGGAAGTAGCCAGTTCATACATCATGCAACAGAACAGGTATTTTCTCACACAAACAAGTATTTGTGTCTTCTAGGTATTGAAGGACTAACAATTTCTATTGCTGGTAGTTTGCTTTAAGATTTTCACTGAGTGTACCGTACTAAGTGTAACAACGAAGCAATCTGCCAACTGAAACATGATACTAAAAAACTTAACTAAAACCACCAATTATATCTTGGAATTTAAAGCACATATATTTATATATAGAATATTCTCTCTATATAAATATATATACAAATAAAATTTGAGCTATTTTTAATAATATTTATAAATAATATTATATTTTAGACAAATACAAAATATTTCTTTTCAGTTTAGATTTCATTCATTTTACTCAGGCAACTCTAATGACTTTTCAACGAAAAAAACTATACTGTTATACCTACAGAACACACACTAGAAAAAAGTCACAGCATAAAGGATACAAATAAAAGACGTAGTTGAAATTGCCAAAATTGTTCCAGTAGGAATAGACTTCTGAGCATCCTTAAGATCTCCAGATCTGTTTGAACCTGCCATAATACCTTAAAAAGAGACCAAGTTTATATGTCTTAAAACCAATTAATATTAACTCCATGTAAATAACTAATAGAAAAGGAACATTTAACTTTAACCCTGATTTAACACACCATTACAAGAATACGAAGGCAGATCGTTGCCTGGTATTCTATTAGCGAACACTGCTGCAACTTCGTATCAGAGTTCTGTTTTGTTACTTTATATTACAAATGCTTGAGCTAGGATTTTTGAAGAAAAATGTCTCTGGTTATTTCAGTCAAATGTGACCTGAGGAAAATGATACACAACTAATCTAACCTTTAAGCCTGACAAGAAAGTCTCTACTAGTTACAGTTGCGAAAAAAAAAATATTGGACATTTAAACAAATCACAGGCAATTCATGGCTTAAATACCTGAAACAATCATCTTGATACTTAAAAACTAAACTGTTCTCTCATGCATTTGAGGATTAAAATATTTTAAAAGGTACACATCTTGAATAAGCATTTAGTAACACATGGAGCTTTTGTTTTCTTTCCAGACATAGAAAATAGCACTTAAACCGATTCCTTAAGTCCTATAACCCCCTAAAATAATGAGCTGCCAGCTGTCTCTCTAGCACCAGAAAGTTTTTGCTACGTAAAACTTGGACACACAGACCAGCAATATCGTGTGTCATCAAAAAAAATGTTCACACACACACAAAAGTCTTTTTTCAGCTATAAGTACATTCAAGAAAGAGAGTTGTATCTACCTGTCACAGATGGGAAATAAATCCCTACAAGCATTGTGAAGTAGGTCATGATGTCTGTAAAAACATAAGGGAGTCCACCCATTTTTGTCTCTTCTGATCCAGCAACTGATGGCTGATCTTTTTTCTCAACTATTGATCCTTTTTCTGAATAGGTACTCCAAAGATTATCTACAAGGGGCAAAAAAACCGAAGAGCCAGTGTCATCTCTCTGTTTCAGGATATTAAGTAGTGAGAATGCAACAATCTTATGAATCAGATGGCTTTTCTTACACAAAAAAATCACGATGTTTCCCAACATTTCCTTATAAAGCCAAGAATGCAGCAACACTACAATGAATACCAATTGTAAGTGGTGGACATTCCCACTGTATGTCAGTAGAAATGCAGTAGTGTATGGGATGCATCATACAAGAATTAGTTATAGGATTAAATTCTAATGTATTTGTAGAATGTCCACTTACATTGCAGACATATAGATGTATTATCAGGATGTACTGTGAAAAAATAAGGAAAGTATTATCTCCAGATTCAGGCAATCATAGCATATATTCATATTTCTTGTTCTTATATTTTGAGGAGCAGGTCAAAAAAGAAATGCTACTTAGCAGTAACTTGAGTTCTTTGAGACCTGCTGTACGGAATAACCCTGGACAACAGTTCAGCACTCAGCTGTTCACAGTAAAGGTATTCCACAAGGTAACAAAAGCATAGTAACCAGACTCCAGAAGAGAACTGATAAATTAAAAAACAAACAAACACCAACAAAAAACAAAGCAAGCAAAAAACAGCAGAATGTGGCTCAAATTCCCCAACAAACTAAGGATGCTTGTTCGATGAAGATTGACAGGTCAAAGAACCAGTAGTTTTTGAGTGCTTACATTTGTGGAAACACTTGGTTGTGCCCCTTGACAAGATGGTGAGAACATCCAACAGTGATTCTTATTTAAAATGAGACAAGTTGTCTTATCACTTGTGAGGAAACAAGTAGATACTCTCTATCCCTGTCAAAGAGCCAAAGGATTTTACACCACAGAAATAAACAATTCCCATGGACTGCCAGGATGATGGATCTGATAGCCAGTTTTCAGCCATCCAGTACAACTTAAGGGAATTAAGTACAGTATTCTAATCCTTCACAATAGCAGAAGTTTACCTTGAGCACAATAGGAGATTGACTCTGAATCTCCATAAGATGCCAAAGATAGGGTACTCACATCCAGATTTGTAACAGAAATCTTACAATTGGTAAGCATATATGGAAGCATGCATGAGGAACGTAAGAGACAGCAGAACAAAGTTTAAAAGGAAAGTATTAATTGCTACAGAATGTTTTGTGTATTAGTTCATTCAAATGAAGAGGAATAACAAACTGATCTAGAGATAAGACCAAAGCCATAAAATAAGAGTTAAGGAAACAAAGGAATTGTAAATTTCAGGAATTTTAGCAAAGATTTGAGGAGTGACATAAAACAAGACAAGATGTCCAAATTAGCATATACTCCCTATGGAGCATAAAAATAAAGTCCAGAAATCAGTTTGCCATTGCCAATCAAAAGCACTAAATACTTAATGAGGACTCAACAGCCTGTGTCCTTTATTCAGTATGACAACAGAAGTGACAATGGCCTGAGCACTCCAATTCATACAACTCTAATTGTGGAAGGGTGCATGCCAGCATGAGTGGGTAAAATCAGCTTAGAGATTTTGTAAAATAGAAATCACTTTCCCCTTTCTTAAGATGTCACACAGAGCTTTGTTACACTAATTTCCTACGCTCGTTTTCCCAAAAGTGATAATCCAAGTGGACTTGAAAGTTAGGGTGAGGGAAAAGTGTCACTTTTCATAAGAGTCCAGACATTTGCAGGGAAGTAGGTTTCCCTTCTAGGACCATTCATGGGTTACTGAGGCTCCTCTAGCAACATTTAGGAACATATAAATAAGATCTGGTACAATGCATCTTAACCCAGCAACATGCTACCATTAAGCAGAATGATGTTGATGAAAGTTATTTCCAGAATTATTTCATTATTGTCAGGGCAACATTCATGGGCATGTTTGGTCAGCTATTTGTAGAATGATTTATTATTGTGAGGATGACATTCATGGAAGGTATACAGTAAATATGCATCTCTTGTACACAACTGCCCAGTAAATGGTGTGAGGACCTAGCACACGCTTCCTGAGACACCCAGGCAGGGTGTCTGAGTATTCCCAGCCACAGCTCAAGAAACTTAAATGTGCAGAGTCTGCAGCTGCAAAGTTTTCACACAAAGCAGAACATACACCATCAGTGGAGGAAAATTCTCCTTGAGAAATATTTGCCAGTCAAGTTCAAGCTTACATTAGGTATCAGAATGTGTGCTCACACTCAGCAAGCAGGGCAGGTGATCCACTTAATTTAGTTTTAGCATTACGTGACACTAGGATAGTGAAATGCACTTTTATACAGTAGTGCTAGTTCAAAGAAATGTTAATCAGTGAACAGAACCAGAGCACACTTTTCCCCAAAGTAGAAAAATTAGTACTCAGCCTGAAACCCCCAACACTGAAAGACCTAAGGTGCTAACTATGAGTTTACCTGAAGTTGTATTGCTACCCAAGGACTGAAATATGACAAACGTAAGGCCAACTTTTTAGGAGAGTTTCAGAAAGATCAGGAAACTAAAGGCTCACAAATGGCATCTGCACATGAACAGTTGATAGCAACAATAGCAATGGATAGAAACACGAAACACATGGGTGTTGAGTTCTGACAAAACCAGCGTCTATTCAGAGTTTTTTCCCGAGATTTAAGGAAGTGGGGAAGTCTCACCATAACTTTTGTAAAAGAAAGTTGTCAGAAGTATTCAAGTTCTTTGAGGGAAACATAAATGAAGGCAATCCACTTAATTCAGTCCACCTAGATTTCCCATGTTTTTGAAAGATTCCTCACCTAAGGAATCTATAGTAGCCATGTGATAAGAGGAATACTCACATAGATAAAAAATGATTCAAAGATAGAAAACAACAGGTAAGGGTAAAAGTAAATACAGTTTTGTAATGCAGGAAAGCCATCAGTGGACTTCCACAAGGATCAGTAGCAGGATGTAACCAGTGCTTTTCAGTACACTCAAACAGCCTGGAAAAAAAGAGCTAGTACCAAGATGAGAAAGCTTATGGTAATATTCAGTTATTCAGAGTTGCAGAAGCAAAAACAATTGCAAAGAACTACGGAAAAACCATATCAGACTCAGTGACTGAACAGAATGCAGTCGATGAAATTCACTAGAGGTAAGCATCAAGCAATGCATACCAGAAGGTGTATCCCTCACACTGAGCTTTCAGCAGACTTCTCAACGGTTGTTAGAGATCTTAGCATTACTTGACAGTAGAATAGTGAAATGCACTTTTATACAGTAGTACTAGTTCAAAGAAATATTAATCAGTGAACAGAACCAGAGCACATTTTTCCAAAAGAAGAAAAATTAGTACTCGGCCTGAAACCTCCAAAAGCAGATCAGCAGTTTAAAGCTTCTACTATAGCAAAAAATTAGAACACACAGTTGTCTTCTGAGCTGGGGCAGGAAATGGAAACATATTCAGGAAAAATTGTAGATATGCTTGTTCTATGCATTTTATAATTTACCACAAACCCTAAGTCATATTTGTTGCAACAAACATTTCCATGAAAGTAATTTAATTTTTCATTAAGGAAATGGAGTGATAATTTTTAAACATACAAATTTAGATTCCAAGAAGCTTATACTTCATCTAGTATCTTTTTATGTATTTGTACACTTTATATTTGATATTTTAAACTGAATTACTATGGCAGTAGTGATTGCCTAGTGTCCCTATGTAGAGTTGCATATTTATATAAATCAAATGCTATTTTAAGGGGAAGCAGGGGAGAGATATAAGAACACGCATTTCATCCCCAGAAACATTCTTTGTTTGTATACAATACAATTCATTACATGTTCAAAATGAATCTTATGACCCAGTGCAACTGGAATCCCAAGCCGCCACAACTGGACAGGAATGTAAACAGAAGAAAATCTATACACTTTGTAGAACACCTCCTGTTCAAATGCTAGACTGGAAGCTAGAAAGACTGCTTTTCTCCAAACCCATCACTAACTTGCTGTATTACATTGGACAAGCCACAGGACTTCATTCCTCAATGTACCACCTGTAAACTGGAAACAAGTTCTCCCTCAGGAGAGTTTGAGAATGTATTAATGAACAGCTTATTTCAGTAAGTGTATTTGGCATACAAAAGAGCTAAATACCTAAAAAAAATTAGCTGTGATAAACACCTTCCCGCTTTTTTTTTTTTGGATAGAAAAATGGCTTTTGAAAGAGTGACTATAAAACTCCAGTGACCCCCAAATTAAAGCATTTGATACTAAGCTTCTAAAACCAGATGGAAACTTTATAGGAGAAAGCATGCTCCAGGTAGCAAACTTTCACATAAACAGATTAGAGCTAAAGCAGTAGCGACAGGCTAGACCACTACATCACTGAACACTACAGGCAAAATTAATAACGTCCAAAAATTTTTAAATCACTGTGCTTTCCCACTTACCAGTTAGAACTCCACTCATTATTCCTGGAATCCCTTGAATTTCTGTTACATCATTGAGACTAAAGTAGTCATCACATGTAGCATTAAGCAAAGAACTATCACAGAACAGGCGCCACAAAGCTGTAGTCTTTGTTTCGTTATTGCTTTCAGTAAATTTGGCACAGACATCAAAACTGCGTTTTGATAATGTACGGTTTCCAAGGAGACAGATACTATAAAACAAAAAAATAAAACCAGTGATTCTTCAATATAGTGTTGTGCCTTAAGCCATTTTTTGTCTGTTAGACTTCTTCAGAAACCTGTTACTTATAGTACCTATCTTATGGTCTATACTACATCTACTAAAACAGTATATAGTCTGCATATAAAACTCAGCAATAATCTTTAAAACACCAAACATTTCTACTTTAAGGTATTAATAGCTATTTTGCCTTCCGATTTATTCTTTGGAAAACACAGTCAACTGAAGCAGCTTTGCCACTAAATAACAGAGATCATGATTCATTCAGTCCTACAAGAAAAAAGTGAAATTAAGTAATACTTAATATACTTAATATAACAATAAGCCTGACCAAGAAAATACAAAAGTAAGATTAAGCAAGTATGTCACGCCCTTTTCTAGCAAATAAATATTTTAGATGGCCCCCAAAAATATTAAAATCCAAAAGGCAGGAAATAAGCCAGGAGGGTTAAACAGCAAAATTTGAAAACATTGATAGGATTACAAATTAAAGAATCACGTAGCAGGAAGCAATTAAAACACTCAGAAATGAAAGAAAGTTAGAGAACAGAACAGTTTGCAAAAAGCAAATTCCTAACAGCAAAGAATATTAAGGATCTAGGACCATTTCTTTGCTAAGCAACACAAAAGATGTTTAGGAGATATCTATTCCAGGCTTGCTTAACAATTAAATTTTATATAATATCTATGAAGATGAAAAAAAGGAACATCAAATAAAACATGTGTTAGGCAGATTAGTCAAAGAACACATAGTACACATCTAATACTTCTGAAGGAGCTCAGTTAAGAAGTTGATAACAAACAGTAAAAACATACCACTTGGCATTAGAACAAGTATACTAAGCCAAGCAGAATATTGACCTAGTGCAATATCCTGTTTCTGATAGCAATTAAGAGCAGATGTCTCGAGAAGAGTACAGGACACCAGTACAGCTTCAGGGTATGGCATCACATGAAAGTTGAGCAGGTTTAAGAGAAAGCTGCTACTTAAAAAGATCATCTTGCCATTTGCCTTGCTCATTTTTCTTTTTAATTGCTATTGATTTGGTGACCCTATAGCAGCAGGGTGAGTTGATTCAACCCATGGAAACTTCTTCCTGTTTGAGTAAACTGGAGATCATGAGGTAAGCCATTTTACCACCTATAAAATGGCCAAACCTAATGGAGGTTAGTGATGCCAACCTAACTAACCAGCTAAGTGGAAACTGGTCTTTTTGGTGACCAGCTCACCACCAGATCAGCTTTACCATAATATAAAGCCACACTTGAGTTTCCCATTTTGAGGCAGACTGGCCAAAATGTGAACAATTATATTTATTGGAAGATAACCTGTCTTTATTCCCCCCCTCGCCCCCAAACAATAATATATCACAGTAGCAGCCACAGATAAGGTTTCCAGGAACTTGATAATAAGTCTTACCTATGCCACATATCCAGGTAAACCCTCTTTTACCTATATAGGTGACTAAAAGATTTAAGTATTTCCCTACTGGAAGTTACAGTGTCTTAGAAATGCAAGTTTTCTTCAGAAAAACGTCAATTTTGAACACACTTATTTTTTCAATACAAGACTTGATATCATTTTAGAGTACAGTCCACAAATACTGCTTTAATGCTCAATTCATAACACAATCATCAACACTTCAAAGTACTATGGAATCTGTAACAATCATAAAGCAAAGAATAACTTCAGTCCTGCAGAACAGATGGCACTTCATAACAAAAGTTACCAGGCTATTTTGTTTGTGTGTGAAGCAGTATCATTGTTTTCTCTCCAAAAAGAGAAACATGCACAAAAATGCTACTCACATACTGATAACTGGGCAAAAGAAATAATTCTTAGTGAGCTAAGAGAGGTACAAGCTAAAGGCATTGAGAAGCAATATGCCATGTGTGACAAAAATAAAATTTGATTTTATTAACAAGGTAGAAAGCCTTCACAAACACAAGTCAGTTTAACACTGCAGTGTCTCTGTTTTAAGTAGGAAGAAATGGAAATTTCAAAAATTTCCTCATAACAAAGAAAGTTTTAACTATGGTTCATAGCTACAATGTTTTCTTGAAGTTTTTACTTTATTCTATAGGTTTTTAGTTTCATTCTTTAGATAAAGAAGCTATATTTACTGTCAGCAAAAACACACCTTCCTGGTCTTTAGGTGTGGATGGAATAACAGGCAGTAACTCTAAGTACCAAAGAACATTTTCCAGAGTATCATGTCTTATGAACAATGAAAGATTCAGAGAGGTAACTCAGAATAACAAATGAGCACATGATTGCGCAAAACACAAAACCTACCATTGAAGCCAATGTGCTTGAAGTTTAGCTTAAAACATGAAATGGTTACAGTAGCTATTCCCTCCACACACTTTTTTTTTTTTTTAAATAACCCACACTACTTAAAGATATTGCACTTACGGAAAGTCAGGGGGGTCAAAAGCAGTCTTAATAACTCCAGCATATATGGCAATGATTGAAAGAATCACACAGGCAAGGAAGACCAGTGCAAGTTTGTTGACATACTTCACTCCCACAAAAACTACTATGGCCATCAGAATGATAATACATGTTCCATAAACTCTCATGTTGTTCAGCATAGCCTCTGTTTCTTCACCAACCTCTTCTGCTTTAAAGATAGCAGCACTTGGAGAAATGTAGGTCTGCAAGAGATACGACCAACTATCATACATGTAATAACAAACATTTTATTAAGAAATCATTTACTTAACTTCAAAATCTAAAACTTCTATTACAATATCGGTTTCACTCTTCCACAAACAAGCTCAACCAGATGACATGGGCGTTTGGGAAGTGTAGAGGTAAAAGGAAGGGGGAAGCAGGGATGAAGAAAAATTAATTTTGAGAATGAGGTACTGCTTTTGATCCAGCTTCTTCTCTCCCCTTTAAGAATTTCCACTCCTCAAATTCATGTCTCTGCCAGACAGGAAAAACCACTAAGGACTTGGACGGGAAGCTACTGACAAAAATTAAAAGAAAAACACAAAACCAAAACCTAGCTCAAACACTCAGCTCAAACCAGATATATCCTAGATTCATTTGAAACATTTGCTGATTGATAATTCCATTGATTGAAACAAAATATGAAGAGTCAAACAAAAGCATAATAAAAAACTAAAAATGTTTCCAGTACTATAGTCCCTGCACTATATTTCATAAAATTCAAACAAAGATACTTTAAACATCATACTTTGAAAAATTTTTTATGGTGAGTTTACTTTAATTTTTAATCTGAAGTTGCAACAGCACAATTTAAGGTTAGTGTGATAAAGCTTAGTCCTGTGCTAAAACAGACAATTTAAACTACTGTAATTTCAAACAGGATTCTCTTACAGATCTCAATTTCATATTATTTTGTTCTAGGTTCTACCTGAAAAGAAGTTGGAAATACAGGTTATAGGACTTATACTGATAAATGCAAACAAAAAGACAAACTCTGACCGATAGTAAAGATGTTAGAAGAAGCAATGTCTCAGAACTAAAAAAAAAAAAAAAAAAAAACACCAAAAAAAAAACCCCACCTCTGCTTAGCTATTAGGTGAGTACTGGGGCTTGAGGCAACTCCACTCCTTCAAAACAACTGCTAAACTGACTATCCTTAAATAATCTAACTTCTTAAGGCAGGAAGAAACTTTGAGCAGGACGCTATCCTGACGTGTTCAGAACCAAAATCCAATAATAGACATAAAATTATAGTAAAGTATTGTTTATTTAAATTTAATTAATTTTAAATTAAATCTAGTGAATTAATATTTACTAGAATGCTAGAAGAGATGAAAATTGTTCACATCACCATGAAGGAAAACAAAAAAAGCAAAATGAAAAACTGATTACAGATAGTGTATTTACATATCATTATTAGAAAATCCTACATTGTGATGTTACAGAAGTGTCAGGCTCTGTATGGGGGTACTCCAGAAAGTTTTATTGTTTGCTTTGTCGTCCTGCTGTTCACAGCCTTTGCTGGGGAAAGCCACAGGCAGACAACTGATTTCTGCCCCTCCAAATAATCCATATCTCAGTGGAGGAGGGGAAAGAAAAAAAAAAAACACACCACAACACACCAATACTTGTGCCTTTTGTGGCTATGATAGGGGTTTTTTCTGAGATCTTCTGCCAAGATATGACATCCTGGGAGGCTTTTTACCTTGAATTCCATAGCTGAACCCCATATATGTTTATTAGCAATACATAAAACCCACATGACTTAAGTAGGGAGAACAGTGTACCAAATTCAATTCACAATTCATCCAGCACTGTATTGCTAGCTGGTTGAGGGAGGTGATTGTCCTACTCCACTCTGCACTGGTGCAGCCTCATCTTGAGTGCTGTGTGCAGTTTTGGGCACCACAGTACAAAAAGGATACGAAGCTACTAGAGAGTGTCCAGAGGAGAGGCACAAAGATGGTGAAGGGTTTAGAGGGGAAGCCGTATGAGGAGCAGCTGAAGTCACTTGGTCTGTTCAGCCTGGAGAAGGGGAGACTGAGGGGAGACCTCATCGCAGTCTACAGCTTCCTCACGAGAGAAGGAGCAGGTACTGATCTCTTCTCCCTGGAGACCAATGACGACCCAAGGGAACAGGAGGAAGACATGCCAGGGGCATTTTAGGTTGGATATTAGGAAGATTCCTCACCCAGAGGGTGGTGGAGCACTGGAACAGGCTCCCCCAGGAGGCAGTCACGGCGCCAAGCCTGACAACATTCAAGAAGCAATTGGACAACACCCTCAGACATATGGTATGATTTTTGGGGTTGTCCTATGCAGGGACAGGAGCTGGACTTCATGATCTTTGTGGGTCCCTTCCAACTCAGGACATTCTATGATTCTACGAATATAAAATTTCAAAGCCAGTAGTCTGAAAAGGAGCAAGTGGGATAGATTCTTAATTCCTGCCTCACAGGAGATATGCCCTTTATGTTCTCCATAACCTTTTATCGGGAAGCAGCTTTCCCCAGTGCACATGACAGTGCCAAGCATTGCAGAAGCTGAAAAGTTTCTGTGAGTTATCCTGGGAATGCTTGTCTGATGCCAAGCCCACAGACTTTCATTTGGAAGGAGGGGAGTCCTCCTAGACCTTAAGAAAACATGGCTTAAAAGGACTTATGCCATACTTATCTAGAGTAAGCAGCAATTTCAACAGAAATGTAGAGCCACCTAGGTGTGTTGACTGCTTACTATAAAGTAGTTGCCAGATTTAAAATCTTATACTCATGATCTCAAAACTTGAACAGTAAAATGGAAAATTAATTCCAGTAGATAGAAAGTGAGTGGAAGCTACCCTGAAGAGCTCACTAAAAGATTCAGGACTCAAAGGCACACAGCCTGGGAAAAATGAAACAAGATGTTTATTGAGAAGTTACAGCAAGAAGACAGAAAAAAAAAAAGGGGGTAATAACAAGGATGTGGATTTCATGGTAAAACTTGAGAGTCACAAGGAAAGGAATCAAAATCTTCTCATGTTAGATGAAAGAAAAAAAAAAAAAAATGAGTAAGACATCATTCAGAGTTGAAGAAAAGGGAGACTCCAAAGCAAAAAAGAAACTGACTCTCAAGATGGAATCTTTAGTTTTTAAATTCCAAGTCTAAGGTGACCTAAAAGAAGTGTTACGTGCATCTGCGCATTTTTGTTTGGAAAAGGAGAGGAGGACAGACAACACAAAAGCAGCATAATATAGGGTCCAAATCTTTTGTAAGTTTGCTCTGGTGCACCATAAACATATGCAGACAAACATTTAAAAAATAAATTACTTCCTTCACAGTTGCAAAAAAATCTATTTTTTTAAAAAAACTAAAGTAACTGACTTAGCATCACTAAATCCATATGACATTTCAGAGGCCCTGAAAATAGGCACTGTCAACTACGATTTAATCTGCAATCTAATGTGACATTTCACTAAGGACTGCACCATTTCTTGTGGCATTTTTTGCCATTTTTTATACCAAAGTTGTCGTTTTAAGATTAAATTCAGTGATTTTTGTACCAACTTAACATGTCTCCAAAGCCTACCTGTTGATCTGATGTTCTTTTCTGCAAAATCTACTGAAATATTTCCTATTTATTTTTCGTCTCCAGTTTATATCTCCAATTTGGACCTATACCTAAAATTCCAAAACTAAAGCTATGTCATACTGAAATCAATATAGTTTTCCTTGCAACTCTGTAGGCATACAGTAGCACAGGCATAATTTATGGGACATTTGGTATTCAGAACATGTTATGAAAAGGTGACAACAGATATATTTTATCTGGTAAAAATTCATAAAGGTCAGTTACCAAATTCTGTTTGGTTCCTACTTTAAGTAGAACAAACTTACATCAAACAGCCTTTAATTTATTTTTGTGTTGTTGTTCAGAATTTTTTGAACTTTTTCAAACAGTCACAAGTAGAGTAAGAATAAATATTAACATACTGGAAATACAGTATCAAAACATGAAAAAAATCACAGCACTAGAATACATTTTAGGCCAAGTGCGTTCCTCAGCAATCTCCCAAAACAGCCCAAATACATTTAATCTTAAGAGAAACTAGTACTTACCAATAAAATTTCAATGGTACCAAGAATGTACATTGCTCCTGCAAAGGTTGTACCCAAGTAGAAACAAAGTCCCACTGCTCCACCAAACTCTGGCCCTAAAGATCTTGAAATCATGTAGTAAGAGCCTCCAGCTGTGAATTTAACAAAAAAACAAAACAAAACAAACAAAAAAGACTCCAGCCCGTGAGATTAAGGACAGCAGTGGAGAACAAAAATTTGAATAGTTCAGTCAACATAATCAAGATAACTACTGCATGCATCTCCATTGACATGTTCATACCAAAACTGTATTCAATGTCTATACCAACTAGGCAGTTAGAACGTACATTTCAAAGTGAATATCCCCATGTGCATTTTCTGGGAAACAGAAAATAAACACCAAAGAAAAAGAGGAAAAATCCACAAGGTAAACAACCTAAAAGTAAATTAAGAAAAGGATATAAAGATATAAAGAGATGTGAATCAATTTTCAGTCTCTAACCTCAAGCTGTTCACAATCAAACAATAAACTTCCAGAATGATTTCTTTGTGACACAGGGACAAAATAGAATTTGTCTCACTAACATGCATTCTTTCTTTCCTGTACATGAAACCATTATCACTTTCACTACAAGTATTTTTTTCAGTACCATTTAAAAGTGCTAGGTAGTGACGGCTTTTTCTTGTCTACTCATATACTACTCACTTTGCCCTGAATTTTTCAATTCCTCCCACTCATATTTCCCATATACATGCATCATCTTTCTTTAAGTCATAAGCTACCCCTCCCGTTTCCACTGTACCATTTCCCTTTCAATGAGGCTCTAAGTTTCAAGCTCTTTGTCTAGACTGCCCCTCCAACCCCCTCAAGGCATGCTCCTCTCTGGTTCCCTCTCCACCTTAAATTCATGATGTTTGTCCCACTCATGACAACTGAGGAAGAAAGAGGAGACAGAGAAAGGAAGTGCTTTATTTTAAATAAACATACACCCACCTTGTATAAAAATCAGTCTGCAAATAAGAAGTACATGTCTAATCAAAAGGCAGAGTCTGAAGCTGCTTTTCAATATGAACAAATGAGAAACTAAAAAAATTGATGATGCATCACCAATCCTTTTACTAAATATAATGCTGTTGCATATAACAGCAAGAGACAAGATCCTGCTGCTCAGATGGTCTCTTTCAATCCTAGGTTCCTATCTGTGCTTTCTGCCTCCTCCATATATTCCAGCAGAAGCAGCATTTCTCTAACAAACTGGCACCAACAAAAAAAAAGTGAAAATGAAGACTTGTCTAGTGTAAGAACTGCCAACTTCAAGATTTCTGTGACACTTGGATGTTAAGCAAAACCTTTACAATGAACTTTAAAAAATATGAGCGGGGAAAAGAGCAGAACATTTTAGTTGTTCTGGACGCTAATTAGAATAACTACATTTCATTATAAAATATAAGTATCTGAAACAAAATTTTCTATTGTATTTATATTTCATTTATGGTACTGTATCCATGAAATGCAATTATTCTACATCCTACACAGGTTGTAGCATTTACTTTTGCCCATCAACTTATGCATCAGTTCTGGAACCCCTTACTAAGCTGGAGAAGCTCTGTAAGCGAGGAATTATTTTAACTTCATTAGCTAAACTGTTCAGAGTCCATAACAATGTCTGAACACTGATGATATCAATTAACGTGTTGAGAAAATGAAAAGGATAAGAGCTTCAAAGGCTAACTGATTTTGCATCTAAAAAAAATTGGCTTCATAATTGAAGAAGAACAAGTTCATCTATTTATCCTGAAAATTTAAGGAGATGAGCTTATATAGAAAAAGATTTCTACCAGCAGACTGCCTGTTATTCTTGCAGAAAACAACATAGCTACTAAACTCCAGTGTTTAGAAATGGAGTCTAGGCAAATTCGGGGTGGGCGGAGCAGCCTTATTTGTAAATTTGTAAAGAAATCTGCTTTGCATGAAGACAAGTCTCCATTAGTTCAGATTATAAACATCTTATCTTTCATTCAAGCAGAATCAAATGATGATGACAAAAATGTGCTACAGTTCATAATTCCCAGAAGGTCCAGCTAGAAGATTGCATCTCACCTTAAAAAGTCATTTATAAATCAGTTAAAAGAAAATATGCACTTGACATAAAAGCATTACTTCTGATATCTCAGACTACAGTAATTTCTTATCCCAGCTTTAAACTTCCATCATTTGACCATTCACCATCTAATATAAAATTCTTCATTACCTGGTACTACACCATTTGTTGCTATTGCACTCATTGAAATTGCAGTTAGCATAGTCTGTGGAAAGATAAAATAGAGGAAATTTAAAGTACTGAAAGTTTTTTGAAAGATGGGGCAAGACAAAGTGATCAAATGAAACTAGGAATTTATTTTTTTTTTAAATAAGATGTTACAGCTACCAAAAATAATCATATCTTTGGTTAGGGATATCCATATAAATTAAGTATTAAGTTTTTCAGTAAAAGATTCAGTTAATTTAGATAGTTCAGACAGTCTTTAAAAAGAACTGGAAGAACACAGACCACTGAATATACTTGAAATAAGATGTTCATTATTCCAATTAAATAGTAGTGACAAACTGATCAAGTATCATTGTTATGACAATATCATCTACTAGTGGTCTCACATTCCAAAACATTAATTTATGGACATAATTGTGTGGCTTGATTTGTAGTTTATATTTCAGTTTGTTCTGAAGTTGTGAAAAGCAGAACAACTCAGATCTCAATGTAAATCATGAAATATTTGCTAAAAGCTGATTTAATAAAATCCATATAATACTTCAAACAAAAGCTTATTGTGATCAACTCAGAAGAAACTCCATACAGGCTAGAATGACACATGACACTCAGTGCATATATATATTTCCCCATGTCTCTCAACTGCACTGATACTTAACCATTATGGAGAAATCTTTCTCTATTACTCACATATTAGAAGGCAGTAGTACTCTTGTAACAGAAGATTTGGCCAACAGTAAAAAAAAAAAAAAGGTTAACTTACACAAGCACAACACATGAACACAATGATGAAAGACTCGAGAACTCCAGCTGTTCCCACAATCCATGTTAAACGTAGAAAAAGGATGACTCCCAAGATGTTTTGCAAGCAGGGCAGATATACACCAATAAAAGTACCCATACGTGGAACCTGGGAACAGAGTCAGAAGTTTAATTGCTCTGCACTAAACAATTTAAGTCCATAAGTACTTTCTTCCGCAAACACTTATCACAAATCCTCCATGAACAAATGCCAAGTGAAATCGAATGGTAGCTTCAGAGTGTCCAGCTTTACAAATATTCATAAGCTATTTATGCAGAAAGATTCCTGAAAAGACAGAAAACTATTTGTGACAGCAAACCTTCTTGTTCCATAGGAATTATAATGAAACCTTGATGGGGTAGGATGCCCTTTTCTTTATCTGTTGAAACTTTTCAAACTTTCTTCTGAAATACCAGTTACAGACTACCATTGAAGAGAAGTTACTGCCGTAATTAAAATACCAAATATATTCTGCAAAAAGTTGATCACCAATTGCCCTGCAGCTGGCCCACAAAATTATATTCAACAATAAGTGTTTTCAATTAAAAAAAAAAAAAAAAAAAAGACAGACAAGGTATTATGACAAGGCCAGAAGAAATGCAGAGCTGACTACAATTTGATTTTGCAAAAGTTGTAAAATCTGCCGCAACACAGTATATTTGTTTGTACTTTTTATTTGCTGCTGATCATCATGGATAAAGACACACACAAAAGCATTCAGGCATCATTATTAAAGTTCCAGCCTTCTACACTTAAGAAATCAGGCCTTGAAATACTCAACTTAGAAGCAATTGTTATACACAGTAGGTTTCCAGATACAGAAGCTCTTCTTAAGTTACAACTCAGGTTGTGAAAAAAGGCAATCAATCTAAATAAATAAGCAAACATTGGTGCTTTATAAGTTAACAAAAATATTAACAAAACACTAAGTTTCCAAGTACCATGGAAATCCAATACCAATTCCAAGGAACCATGGAATGCCATTTAGACTATAATCTTTATTTTTAGCATCTTGGGCAATATACATGTGAAACATCAATGTTGCTGTCTCAATTATGTCATTAAAAATCCTACTCTGCCAGGCTACTTAACCATCAATTAATTTCAGACATGGAACAGAAAAAAAAAAAAAAAAAAGAGACACACGCATAGAAATCGTGTTTTCAGGCCACCAGATGGTGCTCAAACGAAGTTAAGTGCAAGTGAGGACATGGTGTTCATTTGGCTAGTCAGTTCCAGGGGGACTAATGCTGTTGCATTAACAAAAACCTCTGCAGAGTAGCTGGACAGAGGACAGGGATCACACTAAGGAAAGTGTGAGTTGATCAGTGTTGGTTCTCATATCTCAAGTTGTATCTTCAAATGATAACAAATACAGAACAAGCACAATGAGACAAACAAAAAGAACCCTGCACACAAACAAATGCAGGATAAGCAAAAAGCTAAGACTGCTGGACTTTATCCCTCACAGTTGCCCATTGTCCTGGTACCAACTTCCTATACTAGTCAAGTCCTAATGCAAACAAAACTCCTAATGCAGTTCTATTGCAAATATTCAGGTACTATACCATAAACCTCTCTTCCCATCAAACAAGCTCTAGTTCTAACCTTACTTTCAAGCACCTTTTCATACCCGTCTCTTCTGCTATGTGTTCATTTCCTTCTATTCATTCTTATGTGCTTCTCCTCCTTTCTCCATGGCTCAGCACACAAACTCAGTAGCAGCACCCCTTCTCCCACAGAAAGACAAGTGACACCCAGTACTCTCCTTTTCCCAGTATCTACTCTAATTTCTTAGTTTCAGTCACCATGCTCAACCAGTTCCAGCTCATCATCCCTTTTTGTCTGGAAGATCTTGTACTCTGTCAGGTCCCATGGTTTTGATCCAAGCTTTCTCCTTCTGAAACAGCTCCCTGCTCAGAGAGGGATCAATTCAACATCTCATTGCAGACTCCAACTGTTGCATACGTTCCATTTCTACAGAGGCCTAAATAGGCACTTTGGGTATCCAGTAGACAACCCTTGAAGAATTCACTTGCTGTCTTCTAGCAAGTGTGTTTAGGGATGTGCCAAACAGAGCCTTTGCCTTTCTTCACCACGCCACCTCTCCCCCTGATAAATATCGTATTTTTGAGATATGCAATAAAAAGTTTCCTTGGAATGTGTCCATTAAGTTTTAAAAATACTAGCTCTAGTATTTTTAAATTTAAAAGTATTTAAAATTTTAATAAGTCCTAGCTTTGCATGCATTTTATCTAGGGCTTTTACAGCAAGGTCTTGCTAAAACATGCTAACAAGAACACTGAATTAACACAAGTCCTACTGCTAACACTTCAGTTTTAAACACAGTATTACAAATCTTGCTCCTGTTTTTAGGCATCCACATATTTTATGTTTAAGTTGAAAAATGCTCCTCTTCATGGCTAGCTTTGTCTCAATAACTTATTAGAAGTTTAAATACCTTGACTTCCTTTCGCTTGCTGTCTTCATCTGCTTCATGTTCCACCACACCTTGAGTCAGATTAGTATAGTTTGCTAATTTATTAAGAAGAGATGACACCATGGGATTACTATCCATTTCTTCCTGTTGGGATTTTAAGAATACTGCATTTATTAAATAGTTTTTTTAAAAGGCATGATCTTATGATACTACTTCAAACACCTACTCAGCAGGTCAGCCCTGATTCACCCAAATCCAGAAGTTATCATGACAAAATACCAGTCAGCTTTCAACCAACAAGAGTTCTAAATCTTTCTAGAAGTTTAACACTACATGGCGATCTTGCAATATTTCTTTCACTTTTTTTACACTATCTTACAATACGTAGCTTGTACAGCTGGAATATAAGAGAAATCTAGAGAAGGACAGTTAAGTATAAAAATCTATTCCTATCACAATACAGTTTTTAGTGGATTGTACTGGCAGGGTCAAGTCGTTAGGGTGTTTTTCCAGCAGCTTGCTTGTGTCTAGAGCGTGGCTTCAAATGATTCTCTCAAGCACCAAGACACTTAAGGATCACTCTCAAGCTTACTGTTGCAGGCTTACATATTTCATCTTGAGCCATGCATACTACTTCCAAAGTATTCATCTGTTGAAAATACAGGCATAGATGCATATCATATCTAATATTACTTGACACAGAAGTCAGACCATCTTTCTTTAGCCAAATGTCTGCTACAAAAAAAAAAAAAACATGCTAAAACAAATAATAAAATCCAGAAGAAGCATATACAATAACTGGATTCCAAGAAAAGCAGAATCAAGAGAATTCAATCAAGTACACAAGATCAAATATTGAAAAGAAGACAAGAGATCAGGATTGCAAACAAAGACAAGAACTAAGGCATCTCTACCTAAGGCATTAGGTCATGATAATCATGGTTTTAATAGCCAAACTTCTTTGTAACAGTTTATACAAAAATTCAAACTCAAGTCAGCTGAAGACATGAGAAGAATGAGATCATAGGAAACATATGTACTACCAAAAAAGATTCACCACTACAACAGCAACGGTGATGAAGTCACTAGAAGGCTTTCAAGGTGACACGATAACAGCATGGTCTATAATCTGAGATATGTAAAAGAATCATCATTATACTATCAGCTGAGGATTTAATGTGAGCCACCATTCAAAATAACTAATGCAAGCATATATTCAAAGGAGATTAGGGACAAATTACGGCCAATTTATCAACACTGAGAAATAAAACAGCTAATTCGAACAACAGGAAGTTTTGGACATTGCTTTATGGAATAGAGCTTGAAGGAGAGAAATTCATTGACAAATCTCCACTACCATGGTTTCTGTCAATAAATAGTAAGAAATTCCATACATAATAAAGAGAGACAATTAATGACCTTACTTCGATCCTTAGCACAATCATCTAAGACTTAGTGAAAAACAGTAAAAATGCATTATTTGGGTCGTGCAGAAAGAAGGAACTGAAAGATCATGTCCCTTTCAAATATCTTTGCACAGAGAAGAAGATTGTATTTAACTTACCTCAAAGAGCGCCATATTCTTTCCTTCATACACATTTCCTCTGTCCATCTCTGCACTGTTAATAAATGGACTACTTTCCCTGGCAATCCCATCCCCTGGTGGAAAAGTGTAACAATTAGAAACAAAAGGGAAAAAAAAGACAAGGTATACTATAAAAAGAATAGTCAGAAGACACTGGTTTAAGAACTGGTTCTAGATAACACTGGAGGTGGGTGCCAAACACTGTCTTTGTCCCCACACACGTGGACTCAACATCCACATTTAAGGAAATTAAGTTTACTTCAACAGTCTAATCTTTGTATAGTGTTCTGCCTCTTAACTATTACTTATTATTCTCTAATACATATACTGATGTCTCCCTTCCCCCCTAACCCATCTTTCTAGTTTACTTAAAAAGACTCGATAATAGAACTTCACATAAACCTTCTGGGCAACAACAAACTCCCCCAACCTATCTTTTCATTACTTTACTGACTCTCTCAAAAAACCTCCAGTAGTTGAGGCGGGAATTTATGAACAAACAATGTAAAAGGAATTACTCTGTAAAGGTTATGGGGACTCTTCCGTGACATGCTATATTTATTCTATTCCTTATTGAAATATCAATCTCATTAAGCTATAGCTCCCCTGACCTGCTCTGGCACACCTCTCAAAAAAAAAAAAAAGCATCACTTTCACTGCCTTCCAGCCCACACAATACAAAAGCTGTTACATGCTACTACTGACACAGCACTGGCATTTCGAAACAGTCTCAAGTCCTTGCCTATGCCACTTTGCCTGTCTGTGCTTTTGCCCTTATATTCACAAGTTACAGCAATAGCACCTACACAGTCTCTTCACTACAGAATTAAGCTGGAGAACAAGTTGTACTCTTTTCCCTGTCCCCTCCATGCTCCCCCCCTCCAGGACACTTTTCCCCACATGAAGTCCCAAAACAAAGCTCTTCAAACATGGACACCAGTCTCAGCACAAAATGTTATCTTGGTTGTAATAAAGAAAGAAGTAGATCTTGGTCCCTCAAGCAGCTGAGTGACTACATCCCTGACGGATTTCCTACCACTCTCCATAGCATTACTTACTTACTGATATCATGACATAGAAGCCACATACTATAAGAGACTCAGTTAGGACTCTAGAATGAATTCCACAATGCAGAGAAGAACTGTTGATGAATTCTTCCACAAATATTGTTCTTATCCAATGTATCTCCTTCTATACATATCCTCCAGCTTTCATTTTTCTGTTTCTTTACAGTTTATAATTGGTGCCCTGTTGCTTCAAGTCCTACAGCCTGGCTAGGTCCCCCTCCTTCAACAATTGCACTTTCTTCCCAAGATTTTTGGAACATTGTTTTTCTTTTAGCTCTGTTCCTTGAAATGACCAAGTTCTTGTTGCTGAACTTTTTACAAAGCGTTCATTACAAGGCACATTCCCAAGTTAAAATAAAAATAAGGTTGCTTCATATTTACCTCGTGAAGACCACACTTCTATTGACTTTCTTGCCTATTGACAGCTGTTAGCTGTACTTCGCTAAATATTAGCACTCCCTTCAGGGTACTTCCAATCCCTTCAAAGGATTACTCTTAAAAAAGTGACCTGGGGAATTTCAAGTATTATTTTGCGTTCATACAGAGTACAATGTCACTAGAGTTACTACTTCAGTGAGTATCATTAGACTAATCAAAACATCAAAAGGGCAGCCAAATGAATAATGTGGATCAGTATTCACAGTTCTGATGTTAAAGGATATAGTTTTGTCTTACCAGTTCTGGAGGTAAAAATCAGCATCTCAGCACTGTACATTAAGTATTTTAAATGGTAGGTAGGAGAATAGTGAAGTCTTCCTTTATATGCTTGTATTTCTAAACAAAGTTACTTGGCTTTGCTCCAACAGGAAAAAGCTCAGAGCACAATGTCTCTAACAAACAAGTCTTGTCAAATGCACCTAACAGACTTCAAATGGAAAAAACACAGAACTTGAGTTTCCTATTCTTCAAATCATTTTTCAGTGTTTCCAACCAATATTCTACCTGTTTTAAAGCTTTCTAATGCTAGTCTTCAAAATAGCCTGTCACTACCAGACTCTATAGAAGTCTCCTCTTTCTTTAATACAGTTGTTTCTTTTCCTATTTTGTGAATGTTAGGTACAGCATTTTTCTAGTATTTGACGTGATCAGCATTATCTATTTTAACTCTATTTGGAAGAGGATCAATACTGAAAAAGTGACCACAAAAATATACTGACAAGTACTCTCTCATCTGCAGTTTGTTGACTAATCCTACAGTTATGAACACCTTCAAGCTCCTCTGAGTTTTCAGTATTGCTGCCAACAAAATCATATTACCTGTAAATTAAAAAAACAACACCTTTGGCAGTATGCTTAGAAATACAGTGAGCCTTACAAACATGTAACTTAAATTGAGATGTATTACACCATCCAGTAGAAAGAACTAGTTTTAGGACTTCATCACACAGTCAACACCTATATGGTTAGGTTAGCGAAATAAGCTACTATCCCAAACTTTAGCTCATCCCTTCTTCAAAAGAAGGGACTCATTAGAAAACCAGAACTAAAAAAAAAGACAGGATTTACACATTTCACAAATACTGTAAATATCACCTCTGGTGCATCAAGTGGAATGGAGCAAATAGAAAAAAAAAACTATTTCAGTTGCTTCCACTGAGGTAACATGGAATATAGAAATAGGTACTTCATTCCACTAGTAAGTCTCAAAGCATTTACAGCTTTATGTTTTAACCCTATTCTCTTGAATTCTATGAGGAAGCTTAAAGATAATAAAATCATAGCACCATTTAGGTTGGAACGGACCCTTGAGATCAGAATCCAATCATTAACCTAACAGTACTAAGTCCACCACTAAACCATGTCCTTAAGCACCACATCTACACATCTTTTAAATCCCTCCAGGGCTGGTGACTCAACCACTTTCCTGGGCAGCCTGTTCCAGTGCTTGACAAGCAAATTGCCTTTCCCTCAGGCTTCTTTCCAATTGTGTCAACTCAAGCTCTTCTCAGGTGTGGAGGAGAGTTAAACATACAATAAAAATCATAACTTCCAATGTCATTTTAGACATTCCTCTAAGCTGCCCATGTCTTCTGGAATCCAATTAAAGCACTCCAAAAATCTATACTTACTGTTCCTTAATTTCTGAAAGTAATTCAAGTTATGAGGGTTTACAGGCAAAAATCTTAAATCTGGACTAGATTAGTAGTCCATCTGAGCCAGTATTTCATCTTGGACCACCACGGGTATTAAAAGATCCATGAGAAAGGCAAAATAAAACAACAAGAAAAAAATCTTCTATGGGTTTAATTATGGTATGTTTCCTCTGTCTTATGACACACACCAGAAAAACCCCACCTGCTGATGTGACACTCCATTCCACCCAACGTAAGGTGATCAAAGCCTAAGCTCTAGAAAGAAATCTGTTTCCCCCTCTGAAATATATACTTTTGAAGTTATTGTTATTACTATTTTTAATCTGCTATGGAATATTCACATACCATAGCACAACTCTGTGCTTAGTGATGGACCAGCAAACAAACTAAAGCCATAACTAATGTACCTTTCCTAGATGCCTGTCTGGTATTTTCTGTGTTGAGAGAGATGCAAAAGTTCCTGCTCTTGATTTCTACAGATACTCAAGCACTGTGATGGGTGTAGCTATATTTACATGGAAATTAGCTGCAACAAATCACATTTTCTTTTCTACATGAGATATACAGCTGCACGCAGCAAAGGCAGGAGACATGTCTCAAGTATGGGAAGTAATATTCAGAGTGTTCGTGCAGATGATCACAATGTGCACTCCCATACACCCCAGCTCCCTAACTGCCAATGCAGTGTAACCCACACAAGTTATCACAAACCATGCCAGAGTTGTGCTAGCTTCAAGTTTAGAACTGCCAATGCGATCAGATGATTTATTAACATTTCCACACACCAAACAAAACTTATATCGGAAACATGTCTGCATATCACAATTCAAAGTGTTGGTCATAGAGACAAAAGACAGCACTTTGTTCAAATTCATATTCCTCAGAAGTTTCAGAGCAGTGATCCTCACAAACACTGACAGGTAGAATACTTTAAGGTATGTCACCAGCTAAAAATTTCTAAGCTGATCCAAACTGGCCCATTTTATACAATGTAAACTGGCCCATTTTATACAATGTAAGACAGAACCCAACGGTATAGCTTAAACTGGCAGAAACCACCTTTTCCACCAAAGAGGTGGCCCTCTCATGCCCCTCTCACACTTACTACTCACCCATTTGTGTCCCTGTATCACACTGTCCTTCACACAAACAGAACTATTTATTATAAATGTTAACAGTGGTGTGTGATTGATGCTGAGTTGGGAGAGAGGGTTTTTTGCTTTTGTTTTTATTCTTGCTGCTACTTTTAATCCACATAAGTTTGTGTTCACTACACAAATGCTTGTGCTGTCACTAGGGACACCATCAGCGTAGGAACGAGCAATCAGTGTAAACAAAACCACTTCCTTTTCATTGATGCCAGTATTACTAAATCATAGAACTATAGTGGTTGGTTCCCCTCCAAATCAAAAAAGGTGGAGTATGAAAAAAAAAAAAAATGCGTAACAGATGTCTTGTCCTAGGGAGAGAGGTAGAGCAGGGCTTGGGGTAGAAGAAGGAAATGATCATTTAAGTGATCCTAAATTTGCACTAGGATGCCTGTTAAAGAGATTAAGGACAAAAATATTGGACCATCTAATCCGATTTCCTGTCTTTCCACAAGTTGCAGAATTTAATTTCTGCATTAGGCTCTATAACTTTGAAAAAACACACTAAGATTTGACCAGTGTGTCTCTTGATGTTCTCAGAGCTGAAATTAAAAAAAGCCTATCAATTCATCTTTATAAAGATTAAGGTTTTTTTTAATTACTGGAAAAAATCTCCAACAAGTTGTTCCTTCTGTCTAAATTTGGCTCTTTTCAAATGTCTAGCTGTAACATCCTAGAACACCTTCCAAATTTAACCACTCACACTTAGCATTTTCTATCTGTCAAGGTAACTGTACTTACCAAATCATCTCAAGCTTCTTTTTGA